ACTCAACATTAAAAAAAAAAACTAAGATCAGCAGAGACCTCACTTTGCTGACAAAAAAGGTCCGCATAGTCAAAACTATGATTTTTCCAGTAGCGATGTATGGAAGCGAGAGCTGGACCATCAAGAAGGCTGAGTGCCAAAGAATTGATGCTTTTGAATTGTGGTGCTGGACAAGAGTCTTGAGAGTCCCCTGGACTGCAAAGAGAACAAAACTATCAATTCTAAAGGAAATCAACCCTGAGTGCTCACTGGAAGGACAGATCCTGAAGCTGAGGCTCCAATACTTTGGCCATCTCATGAGAAGAGAAGACTCCCTGAAAAAGACCCTGATGTTGGGAAAGTGTGAAGGCAAGAGGCGAAGGGACGACAGAGGCCGTGATGGTTGGGCAGTGTCATCGAAGCAACCAATATGAATTTGACCAAACTCCAGGAGGCAGTGGAAGACAGGAGGGCCTGCCGTGCTCTGGTCTATGGGGTCACAAAGAGTTGGACACAACTTCATGACTAAACAACAACAAAAACATGGTTGAATGCTACTCCTGGAGGCTTCTAAAAGTGGCAGGTCATCTTTCTGTTTTTATAATTTTTTTGCCAGAAATTTAAGACGCTGGGGTAAGTGGGATCCCCAAAACGGCCTTTGGAGCCTTAGAAATGTAACATGACCACCTCTGCTTTATAGAGGTTGTGAGGTCTGGATTTAAGGCCAAAAAAACCCCAAACAAACAAACAAAAAACCCCAAAGGACAATAGCAACCCTCAGCCTCCAAGTCTGTAATTAGAAAGGAGTTGTGGCAAGAAGGTATGCCTAACCTTTTCACTGGCTGCCAGCAATCTGCACAAAGCCTGCCACTTCCCAAGGCTCTTATCATCCCTGAAAAGGAGATGTGGGGAGGGTGGGAGGGGGGAGATAAGAGTGCGTTCACCAAGGAAAATGATCTATTAGGTTGCCCACCTTCTTAGGCATCCTTCAGTCTTGAGAGACTATGGTAAAGTGCTCTGAGCTGGAGTGTCCTCTCCAGGGCACGAAGCCTGGGTAAAATCATATGGAGGATAGGCTGTTACCCAAGCAGCAAATCCCCCCTCTCCACATTGCTGCAATAGTCCACGATAAGAGTGCGTTCACCAAGGAAAATGATCTATTAGGTTGCCCACCTTCTTAGGCATCCTTCAGTCTTGAGAGACTATGGTAAAGTGCTCTGAGCTGGAGTGTCCTCTCCAGGGCACGAAGCCTGGGTAAAATCATATGGAGGATAGGCTGTTACCCAAGCAGCAAATCCCCCCTCTCCACGTTGCTGCAATAGTCCATTGGAAGGGCAAGAGCCAATACAACTGGTTCCAGCAACGTCGCAGGAGTTGGCAGAATGACACGAACTGCCTCTGGGACTCCGGCTCTGGATTTTGCCTAGACTTTTCCATCAGTGGATATAGCCACCAGGCAGTGGAAGTTTGAAATCAGAGTTTTCCTTCTCCTAGATGGGCTGCCTTCCAAGGCTGACAAGCCAGCTTCCATGTGAAAGCAACATCTGCATTGGTTCAAGTATTCCCGTTCTGCTCCACTCAACCCCAATAGCAGAAGCCACATGGATGTAAAGGGAGGGAGGGTGCCCTTTAGCATATGGTGTGGAGCTGCCCGGGGCATACCAATGGCATACCTGCCTCTGACACTTTTCTGTACTTGCTGTAGTTGGGACCTTTCTAAATTAAAAAAATACTTTCAAAAGCATTTCTAAGAGGCCCAAGAGTAAGATTTTCTGACAGAAACGTTTTACCAGTATGTGAAGAATGCAATTATAGTCCAAGACGTCAGTTCAGATTTCTGGGCCAGTACTAAAGTGGGTGTAAGTCTATCAGTGGAACTATAGCTCTTTTACAGTTCTGGAGGGACTTATACCAGGAGAAGCCCTGGCAACCATTCAGACTAGAGCAGCATGCCAGTTTTGCAATTCATTTCCCTTCCACACCCTCTTCCTCTACAGTGACCCTGATCTGAACAGCTTTTCATTCATGTCTCTACCCAAGACATCAGTGTAGTGCCAGGTGCATTTAGCATTCTACACCCCTGATGGAATTGTTTGTTCCAACCAAACAGTCATATACATAAAGGGGTCTGGTACGGTAGAGTGACCGATACAGTATTTGTTCATGTGGAAAGAGGTACCTGCAACCAGCGATCAGGCTTGGTATTGAATGAAGAAAAAACTATTTATTACAAAGCCATGTATTTAAGATACCTACCTATGGTGTAGTGCAGTGGTCCCCAACCTTGGGCCTCCAGATGTTCTTGGACTTCAACTCCCAGAAATCCTGGCCAGCAGAGGTGGTGGTGAAGGCTTCTGGGAGTTGTAGTCCAAGAACATCTGGAGGCCCAAGGTTGGGGACCACTGGTGTAGTGGATAGAGTAATAGGCTTGGGCTCTGAAGAACCAGGTTTGAATATTCACTTGTGCGTGGAAAATCACTGGAGGAATAAGGCTGGGAAAACCACTCAGTAAGTATCTCACTTACCTTGAAAGTCCTATTAGAGTTGGGAAAATTCAGTTCCAATTTGATGGCACACAAATGATTAACTAAACAAGTCTTATGATTGTCCACAAACACCTGCTTGTCAACTCCAGATGAAGTTTCACCTAGAAAAATGCTGGAGACTCCCTTATCATGGAAACATGGAACCACACCAAAACCTGAATGCAGTTATCTTCTAAGAGTAGTTCACAATTGTGGCCAGAATCCAATCAGTTATTTATGCTGCTGAAAATGTAATGCCATAAATCATAGGAAAGAATGGCTGCTGGTTAACAAATCATCAGGTTGCATGACAGTCACAGGAGTTGGTGCAATTTAGGGGATACAAGCATTGACTAATTAACTCACAGGAATTTGTCACTGTGATTTGTGCCACTGAGATTTTGCCAGCATAATTAACCAATAAGGTTCTGGCCCTTAGTTTTCCAGTCAGTGTCTGGGAAAGGAACAGGGAGATTACTATTCTAATTTTATTTCAAAGATTTGGAGAATTTATGGCCAGATGATAGACGTCTGAGAATGAGGATTTTGGAAAGATCTAGGAAGATGTGGACTGTTTAATTCTCATAAAAATGAGTGGCAAAGAAGACAAAGGTTTGACTTTGTCTCTGCCTTTATAACACCCAGTAGGCTCTCGGGCTTCAGAAGAGGAAATTTATATGTTTCAAGTTTTTTAGTGTTACACTGGTTGAAATCCTGTTGTTTGGCATAGCAAGTAGCACTAGAGTAAGCATATTGAATCAGCAGGGATTTTCTGAGTCAACCTCTCAGAATAAGCCTACTCTAAGTGTAACCTTACATAGTAAATCACAACTAAGTCATCCTATTTGCATCAAACAGAGTCACCAACCCCCCCCCCGATGGGGCCTACTTTAATGTTACTTACTATGTGAAGCAGCCATTGTGCAATTTCTTAGTCTTTTTTGAAGTACCCATCCTAAGAGTGCCTGGCTATCAGCACTGATCCATTTAAGCTCAGGAGAAAGGAAAGCTTCCTGAGCATCTATTATAGGTTTGCAAAACAGATGACGGGTTGTGGTGAATCTCCTTCTGTGCCATGCCTGTCGCAATACTTGCATCTGTACTTGAGCTCACAGGCACCACTCTGCTCAACCAATGCCAAACTTTGAAAATCTTCAAAGCACTCTAGGCTGCAAGCCAAACCTCAGCTTTTCTGTAGAATGTCACTGTAATTGGATAAATAATAACTGTGGGGAGGTGGTAAAGAGGGAGAAGAGTCTAAATGGAAGCTTTCCTTTGTGGGAGGAAGTAATTATACATATTTACAATGTGAGTTAAATCAGACCTGCCTCCAAACAGAGTTTAATGTCCTATCTGGAAAGCTGTTAAATTACATTTTTCACCCCGCATGGCCAGTGGTGGCCCAGGTACAAGCAGGGCCGGGTGTAGCACTCTGCTTCCATGTGAATGCAGTGAGGAGGGTGTGTAGATCAGGATCCAGTGCCAACATGGAGAACTCCAAGAATCAGAGTGGCCAAGTAATGCAGGGACACAGAAGACTGAAGGAGGAGGATGAGCATCCCTTGGAGTTGGGATGGGTGAAAATTTGGTGTCCTGTTCATTCCTTGAATTTCCCTGTGAGCAGCAGAGGCAATGGTTATGTTTTAAATTTTCCTCCAGGAACGGACCAGGATTTATCAAACAAAGGTCTTTTGCTGAACCTGCACCTCTGGGTGCCTCCTGAACATGAGCTCTTTTCTGGAAAATCTCCTCCTGCTAATATGGACGGAGAAGTGAATTCTCCGTCCATATTAGCACTGATCCTTTTAAGTGTTGGGGAAGGGACACTGAAAAACATGGCACAGAACTTGTGTAACATCACTGAACTTTTGCAAAAGCAATGGAAACTGTATCCTGTTTGGATTAGGAAAATAAAAGGTGAATTTAGAGGATATTATAAACTTCAGGGAAAGTTGAGTCAGAACTTTGAACTGCTGAGTCATATTCATATTAATTGAGGGAGTTAATCACATGATTCTTCTTTCCCACAGAAATCAATTAGGACCTAAATATTCTTAACTCTGATTCAAGGTTAGACAGGAAGGAAGGAAGGAAGGAAGGAAGGAAGGAAGGAAGGAAGGAAGGAAGGAAGGAAGGAAACCCAGCATCTTTAAAGATAATTTGTTGTACTTACCTTCTAATAGCTCCAAATACTCAGAGATAAAGTTTTGTTCTCCAAATGCAGGAGAGTATGGCTGCCCTCAAGCCTCCTAAAGCGTGTCCCCTTCTACTCTTCCCTCTTCTGTGACAAAAACATTTCAGAGTACAATGGTGCCATCACCTCCCATGCCTTCATATGAAACATTTGTTAATGCAGCCTGAAAATAGCATTTCCCTGCCCTGCCCCTGTGCACCAATGTGAACGGTAACTTTGGGAAAAGAAAGGACCAACCAGAGAACACACACAATGGAAAGCATCCAATACTCATTTGTTTATTTTTCTTCCTTTTCCTTTAGACTGTCCAGTGTTGGAGACTGAGTGGATGTGAAATATATCCATGTTCGTAGCTTGTGAAACCTTAATAACCTCAAGGAAACAGGCCTAAAGGAACCACTTGACTTCCCTCACTTTGAACTCCTGCAGAGCATTTTGAGAGAACAGTAACACGGCACCAGCACTAATGGAGCTGATCTCTTGCAACATCTTGCACCAAGAGACTGGACTAAAACACATGAGACTATTCACGGCTGTGTTTATTTGCTGAAGCTGTGTGGGGTGTGCGCGCGCATGTGTGCACAAATATATTTTAACTTTTTAAAAAGTCAGGAACATGTTAATGAGAAATCCTTTGTGTACAGTTTAGTTAAAATAATACTGTATGAAATAATGTTAAAAACTGGACCAAGGCTTTTCAGGAAAACAAACTTTCCAAATTCTGCACTTTTTTTTTTTTTTAATCTGCTGAGGAAGCCTGGAATACAGATTCTTTTCTTTACATGCCTAACACCACTTTAGTTAACCTTCTCTCTTTTGCAAATTGTCTTGTGTAAGTGTATTGTTTTATTTATTAAGATATTTTTCAACAAAAGACTACAAAGTTGTTGTATACTTTTTCTCCTGCTCAAGATTTTTTTTAAAAGAAAAAACGATGCAGTTAATAGATTGTTGATTTATTTATGGCTCCCTTTACATTAGGGGTGGTAACATCATACAGAGTTTTGTAAGGATTCAAGTTGCTGATAATTAAATAATTAAATATGCATTTATTTAGATCATTTGCAAAACACACTTCAGGTACACAATGGGCAAAACTAAAAAATAAGCTGAATGTTCTCCAATTTAGTTTTTCAAGATCAAAGCAGTGATGTGGTCCCTCCAGATGATGCTTCCATCACTCCTCCAGATAAGAGCTTAGATTCCACCAATTCCTATCAGTCCTGGCCAACCTGGCCAGTGGATGAGAGACTTACAGTTCGACACCTTCTGGACCAGTAGTTCCGAACTTTGGGTAGCTCAGGTGTTCTTGGACTTCATTTCCCAGAAACCCCAGTCAGCACAGCTGGTGGTGAAGGCTTTTGGGAGTTGCAGTCCAAGAACATCCCAGTTACCCAAGATTGAGAACCAGGGTTCTAGATCACTGGTTCTTAACCTTGGATTACTCAGGAGTTTTGGACTGCAACTCCCAGAAGCCTTCACCACCAGCTGTCCTGACTGGGGTTTCTGGGAGTTGCAGTTCAAAAACATCCGAGTAACAAAGGTTAAGAACCACTGTTCTAGATGATCACACATTCCCCATCTAGCCAAGAGACTTCCCTTCTTCATGGATGTTTACCTTGCTTTGGTTTATTGCCCCACAAGTAATCTTTGGCAGGGATTGTATGCAGAAAATAAAAACATCACAGCTTTATTTTCATTAGTTCTAGTGCCACCAAGGGTCTTGTTTGCAGCTTCCTTAATGTAGCTCTCTTTTAGCCCTCCTGATTTGCAGAAGGCATAGCTACAGGAGAACTACCTTAATATGCTGTAAAAAAAAGAAATGGATGCCAATTTCCTCATTCTTCCTTTAAGCAGGCATAAAGTGTTCTTTACCCTGGAAACAGAGTGAGCTTACAGTGACTCCTCTGAAGAAATTTGGTTTGGTTTTCTGTGCATTCTGTTCAGTGTAGTTGAAAAGCCAGACTTCTCCTCCTCTTGGTATTACTGATATTTCCAGCCCTGTTATGTATGTGTCAGTCCTATAAATTAAGGCATAAGGAATGTTTGCTTTAAAGTTATCAGTTCTGACCCATACATGGGTCTGAACTGATACATGGGCCACACATGCGGAAAGCTGCAGGCCATCAAAAAATAAACAAAGTGGGACAGAAGAGGAAAGGAGGGAGGGAGGAAGAGAGCAAAGGAGCAATTTCATCTCATTCTCTTTCTGTCGCACTCCCTTTTTGAGTGTGTCTGCCTATGCTAGTACAACACCACTGGTACCATGCTGCTAAAGAAAAGAAAGAAAAGTCGTTATTTGCTAATATCCAGCCTTCTCAGGGTTTTAACACTGCTCCCCCAGCCACAGCCATTACATTGTGCCATCTGCACCCCTGCACACACATTTTTGCATCTGCTCAAGGGATCAGACTGTGTGGACTGATGTGAATTTATCTATTGTGAAAAAAAGTTGAAGCTCCAGGGGTGGAGGAAAAAATAAAAATTGAGAGGGGAAATCTCTTAGCTGGCTCACATTCGCGTTTAGGTCATATGAATCAGATCGCTCCAATCCTGTAGTATCACCCTAAGAATAAAAACATTGCTTCCTCTACAGATCGTATTGTGATCCTGGACAATCAAGAACCACACAAACTTCTTGCTGTCTTCTCTCAATGATTCCTGGGGGTGGGGAAGGCTGGAAGACTGTTTTGAACCCTATATTTTCACAAGGTACTCTTCCATTCTGGATTACCCCTGGCTGTGCCATTTCAACTTTTAGTTGGTGATAATGTCTTATATTTTTAAATGTAGCAAAATTGCTTATCTGATATAGAAATATGCAATGAGATGCATTCTACCCTTCCAGCTTCCATTAGCCATTTTCCCCAAGGGTCACACTTTCTGTGAAGTAGGAGAAATCACACACAAGGTTGGGGACCACTGCGCTAAACCACAATATTAAAATGAATGTGTAGCACCTGATTAGGATCACTTCCTTTTTTTTACTGTCAAGTAAGAGCATGGTGCCTCAATGCAGATCAGGACCACCAGGCAGCGAGATGGATACCTTCAGCTGCCATTTCCCACCAGCTTCCTTTGGAATCAGTCACTTTCATGGGATGACGGGAGAAAGGTTTTGGCAGAAGCAAATCTCCAAGTTTCAAGCAGTTGCAAACAAGTCTCTGTCTTGGACCCACAAGACAGAGACTCCATACCCAAGCATCCACCAAATGGACTGAGAGCTCTCTCAAGCATGCTTGGTGTATGTGGCCAACAAAGTGAATGGAAAAATTATAGATCCATACGCACCCCACAAAAGAATGCCCACCAGAAAGCTGTCAGATGGAGCATGGCCATACAGGTTGATAGGATAGGTCAGTGCCACCAAAATGTCTACAAAGCTATGCTGTGTGGTTTGGCTATCTTGATAACTTTGAATAGTTCACAATGGTTTTGCCAAACACATTGCTTAGAGTAGCCTAGGTTTAAAACAAATGATAATCCATGTTCCTTCAGAGGTGGTCTCCTACTTTCCAAATGCAGTTCTAAGATAGATCTTGACCAGCACATGCTCTCTCCAGGGGCCTCGTTGGCAGATGAGACAAGGATACCCTTGTGTTTGTGGGTATTCCACCTGCATCCTCTGTTCTCTTCAGCTGGCCTCCCTGAACTCTATTAACCTGAAGAAATCTGAGCAGTATGACTGACTGGGAGAGGTGGTTCGAGGAGGCAGAGTAACTCAAAGTGCTTTTTCCAGGTTATATGCAGTCCTATGCCTGTCCATTAAGGTCAGAGAGACTTCCTGCCAGATACGAAACCTCGAGTCGTGGCATGTGGTTGGTAGGTATACAGTCTTCTGCCTACGGCATCCATTCTAGTGTGTTGCATGGAGAGAAGAGGCTGCTGCTGCCACCTCTCTTTCTGACACTTGCAATGCTGATGGTGGCACTGGGTCGTGGCTGGGGAAGTGGGACCTGTTGACTTCTTGTGTCACCAAGTGGATGCTGGTTGAGGTAAAGACTCTGGTGGTGCAAATGTGGGAGCACCACCACCTCTGTCTTTAGATACTGCTGCTTGTACCAAGATGCCAGGTAGCCACAACAAGCGCACCTTAGCACCATGCTGTATTGAAAACCCACTGATCAATGCACCTATGTGTGTGCATCCAGCTTCCAATTGGAACATACCATAAAATCTATTCTTTACAGCCAAACCCTCAGGTACAATCACATCTGTTTGGACCCCCATATTCAAGCATCTACCAAATGTATTTCTCAGACCCATCCAATATGGTTAAGGAACAAATTAATTGGGTAAGGTGAATATCCAGAAGCAATCACTGCAAGACAGACTCAGAAGAGAAAATTGTCAAACATTGCTGGTTTTCACTTTTAGCCCACAGTTGGGACTATTCACACAAATCATAAATGATCTCAGCCCATCTTTGACAAGAATACTTCACTTTCCCAAGCCCTTTGTGGCAGGCCTATACTTGCTTACAGACAACCCCCCCCCCGCCGCCGCCGATCTCAAGCAACCAGTGTTGCACAATGGACTGCACAAAACTGATGCAGAGAGGCTCAATAAACCCTTTCAGAAACCCAAATGCCAGCTCTGCCCCCACTATTTACTCTGACACAATTGTTACAGGACCCAACAAGGTCACAACACAACACCAAGGGCACTTTTAGTTGCTCCTTTGCTAATGTGGTCTATGCCACTTTTTGCCAACAATGCCCCTCTGCACTCTACATAGGACAAATTTCTGTACAAAATAACTAATGGCTATAAATTGGACATCAGGAATGACAATACACAGAAATTGTTTGTGATCATTTCAGTTTACCGGGGCACTCGTCATGGGATTTGAAAGTTGCTATCCTAGAGAAGAAACATTGCAGAACAACGATTCGGAGAGAGACAGTTGAGATAAAATAGAGTCCCTTCCAGCTCTGCAGTTCTGAGGTGGTGATGACTACACATATGCTTGACACCCATCTCAATGTAAATACAACAATTCCATAGCTTAGGTTCCTTCCCAGCTATCCACAACTACTTTTACTGAACAACCTTCAAATGTAATGTCCTCAGCCACATGTGTAATTCCACAATGATTATGTTGTTTTTTAATTTTTTTATTAAATTACATAATATAAACCTACTATCACACAGAAAAAAACACACAATGAAATAAAATTATATATCGCATTAGTGCCACCATCACCTTCAGGGCTAGCATTAAACTTCATTCAATCAATTTTCTCTCCAAAAATTAATTGTTTCTTCCCTCGGTGTATACCCCTTCTGTCTCCGAAATACATATTCCAAAAATACACTCCATATTTTCTTAAAATCATTATTTTTTTGATTGGCCTCTTCTTATTTTCATATCACATGTCCGCTTTTCATTAATTGCCATATCCCATAATTACATGTACCATTCCTCTAAACTGAATTGATTATCGTTTCTCTAGTTTCTTGCAAATATTAATCTTGCTGCCATAATCATTATTACTATTAAATCCTTATTTTCTCTCAAAAATTGACCCTTCTTAACCAAATTCAACAAAGCAATTTACGGGGACATTTGAATATTTAATCCAGTTATTTCACTTATTTCTTTAAAGACTTGATCCATTCTTGCTTTCTTACTTCACATGACCACCACATATGTATATATGTCTCCTTCTCTTTTTTACACCTCCAACATAGTGATGATACATTTCTATTTATTATGTTCATTTTACTGGCGTTAAATACCACCTCCATATTACCTTTTAACAGTTTTCTTTTATCCTTACTGAC